GTGGTTAACTGTCTATGTGTTTGTTCATAGATGTGGTCCATGAAGCAAAGGCTTTACGATGAGAAATACTCGGGCTCTATAGCTTCAAGTTAGTTTCCCATTCAGCTTGCTAATCTAGACTTTGGGGTGATACTCAGCGAGGTGGGGAGTATATCCGCCATTAAAGGCTTGAGGCAGAGTGTGGGAAATAACGTCTCAAGTAGTACAGATTGGGTGGCGGGGGTCAAGTGGAATACCCGAACCAGTGAGATAGGAGACGGATCATCCGGGCAAGAGGGAGACTCTGATATGACTTTTGGGAAGAGGATTGCGGAATATTATGACATACTCAGATCAACGTTACCAGCACACTGGTAAAGGGCACACCATACCACATTTAAATAAGCAATTAAGAAATTGTGATAGTGAAAGGGTTGTACGAGGATTTGGGATTGGGAAATAGCCCAAGGGGGAAGGAGAGATACCACGATTGTTTAGCAGACAATTGGTCAAAGGATCGGCTTCACTTGTCTCTGACCGGTTAAAGTGCTATGCTACGACTGGCAAGACTCATTGACGATGCCGACTACGATGCCGGCGAAGCGTCTGGAAATGTACCACGTCCACGGTCCGACTTTGGAAATGATCATGCATACAATGCACTCTGGACTAGGTGAGTTCCTCTAGGTCTTTCCACCAATATGACCAAGTTGCAAAAAAGAAGTCACTAACTTCTATAATAAATATTAGGGTTGATCCCGATCTTTGAGTACCACCCTGAAATCAGATTTTAAGAGAAACCTATTAATAATCTATCCGTACGAATCGATGTCAAGGATGTGCATTGCAAGTGATCTGATTTTCATGGAAAATTAGGTTTATTGCTGCTTTGTAGGCCAGTTGAGAGATTTTATACTTTCCCTTAAGGTCCTTGTTCGAATCCTCGTTCGAAGAATGCGTTAACCGTGAAAGTAATGTTATCACTTCAACGGTTAGTTGACCAATCAGAATGGGGTTAATGTGAGATAAGAAATCGTGAAAAATTTTCGACAAGGTGTACCTTAATTTGGGCTCAAGGTTGCGAAATAAGTGTCGAATTATGCACAAACGGCTATTTACAAAGAGTGCGAACACGAACATGTAATACATGTTATATAATAGCCGGCCCCAATTACAATCAATTTCTTTATCAACCCTCAGTGCCTGACACACGAACAACAAATGACGCGCTCCTTATTGTAGTGTGAAGTTTGGATGGTCTTGACAGACGAGCTGTGAGTGAGCTGCAATTTCGCTTTCTAAATTACATCATAAAAGTCTGCTATCAAAACAAGGTATATGAGCAGTAGTATCGAAACGCTACTTAAATACGAAAAATAAGTAAATTCTAAAAGGAAGGGGTTAAAATGAAATTTTTGTTTTTCTACAAGAAACAACTATAACAAGTTAATTCGATGAAATTTAGCCTGAGTATCTATGTACAGAGCAAAGAAGAAATCAGAGTCTGTAAGAAGTCAAAGAATAATTGTATAGACAGAAGGAAACATAGGCTAGCGCCACGGCGGATAGTGTAGGCAAAAACGACGTGGAAATGACATGGAATCGTGAATCTGCTGACAGCTGAGTTGAGAGTTTCTGTACTACCTGCTATCTCCACAAATGATCACAGTCTTGAACTTTTGTTTACATGTCTTGTTTCGTAACTATGGCGCAAAATTGTGAATAATACAGGCTCCCTTGTCGCTTGACTTTGAAAAAGGTTACAACGAGTAGGATATGCCCCACTTCCAGTGGGGCAACACTTCACACTCTACGCGGCCTCGTGGCAACGCAACGGTTTATAGTATACAGCACCGAAGCGTATCAATAAGTATGGCATATCTAAGCGGTCATCAAGAATGCTAAAGGATTCGTTGAAGTGTCCTTAGACAACGTAAAATTAGTCTTTATAATGCAGTTAAGAGTATCTGAGGCTTTGCTGGATGGTTAAAATACACTGAATGAAAGGACCAGTTTTCGAGGAGATCCCAACGCACAACCGCTAACATGGGACCGATGACACTTGGGCCTAGCAATAAAAAATTCAATCATTACACAATCATGGCTGCCCCTACCTATTCAACATTTGGCCCAACCCAGCCTGTGAATAATTGTATTGTGGAGTTTCGTGAAGTCATGATCACTTTGGTACCATTAGCTTTTGCCCTGGCAATTGATGAATGCAGATGAGGATTCACGTGCAGAATAGGTTTACTGGAGTCGAGCTCAAGACTTCGCCAAAAGGGAAAAAAGTCGATAGCGTCACCGAGTAAGCCTAACTGAGCTACGAAAGGAAATCTGTGCCATTCAGCATCAGTGAACATCCCAGATGAGGAGGTGATTTGTGCTGTCCGCCTGGCCGACGTCGTCACTGACCGATTCGCCAGGTCGAAGTGACCGTTTCGGAAACTCTTCATAACCGTCGCCACCGCTGACCACCTTCATTTGTGTGGCCATGGTTGTGCAGGGACTGAACGACATGCGTCGAATGGAGGGACGTCTGTAATGATGGGCGCCAGGATGCAATTGTGGCTGTTGTTGGACTGCCGGTGTTGCTGGCTGACGCGTCTGCCCAGCTGGAGACCAGAATGCCGCCTGTCGTAACGACGGTGAGACGGTATCTCTGCCTCCACGTGAGCCGAGAGATTGATGATGCTGCAGTGAGGTTCGACTCAATGCGGACTGATTGGTTGTCGACGCGGAAGAAGTGGAAGATGAGCTGGCATGGTACAGTGGAGGCGAAGAGAGGCAGAATGGCGGAGCAGAGGCGCTGGTGGCGGAGGCGAGTGTGGAAGAAGAGCTTGTTGCGGAGGCCTTGGCGGAGGAGAGTCGCGAGAGTCGACTGACCATCGTCGAGGCGGAGGAACTGTTGTTCGACAGACACGTGAGGCCGGAGGCCAGGAAGCCCAAATTGGCCGGCGCCGGACTGCAGACTCCGGAGGCTGTCGGGCTGGAGGAAGAGGCCAACCCCGACGTGGTGACCGGATGTAGGGCTTGTGAAAGTGTCGAAGTGTGGCTGTTTGGGGCTGTTTGGAGGGTGCAAGGGGGCGTGATGGCACCAACCGACTGGCCAGCCTGTCCTATGCTGGGCACCGGGATTGAGAGGACGATGGGAGTAGACGAGTCGGGATAGCTGAGTGCTCCTGGAAAGTGGAAACGTGTATGGGCATTTGACTGAAGC